CACGGTGGGGATGACAGATTGTTGGGATGCAGACGGGAGAAAGATTTTGACCAGAGGAAAAGGCTGCTCTTTCTAATCATCACTAAAACTATAGGAAATTCAAAAGAGGCCTTCCAGGATCTGGTGACGGTGAAGTGGTTCCAGCAAGCCCTGGAAAGTCATCTGGTGGAAATCATGTAGAGGGTAAATTTAGATATCAGAGCGTAAAGAACTTGGACTAGAGGACATTATACTCTTGTGTAGGATGAATGCATTTACACAGTTGTTTGGCAAATGTTTCTAGACTACCGGTTGCATACCACACATGATAAAAGAACGCACAAAGAGGGTGCCTGGGTGGCTCCGTCGGTTAAATAAATGCCTGACTCGATCTCAGCTCGGGTCTTGGTCTCAGGGTTGTGAGTCCAAGCGCCATGTTGAGCTCCGTGCTGGGCATGAAGGCTACTTAGAAGAAGAAGAAGAAGATGATGATGATAATAATAAATAAAACTCAAAGACTAGACAGACTTGGTCGCAATCGTGGTTTCGCCCTTTACTAGCCGCATGAACTGAGTCCGTTTTCTGACCTTTTCTGAGCCTCCCCTACTTCACGTGTGATAATGGAATAGCGTGACCTCATGGGGTATCTGGGAGGATTACATTAAGAAACATACAGTGTGGAGCACACAGTATGTGTGTAGACACACAGCATGTTTGTTTTCTCCCTTTCCTGAATCATGTGACTTGAGTCATAACCCACATTAGGATCTAATACTTAATGACTTGGACCTTAGACACACTATTCCATGTGATCTTAACTGATCATTTGCGAAATGAAAATGGCAGCCCCTCACGGGTCACGATGACCGTCATACTTGAGGTCATGGGGCAGGCCCAGGAGAGGTTTTCCTTTCTCCCCCCACCCCCCAGCCACCCTTTCTAGATCAAGCCTTTTCAGTGGGAGCAACACTGCCCCAAAAGGGACAAAAATTCGTTTGTCCCTAGGGAATGAAAAACCGTACCCTTTTTACATAAAGCACAGATACACACAGTATATCTGTGACGTCAAAATTTCATCAGGGACAGGGGAGGAAGATGAGGAAAAAATAACTAAATAAGATGCTTTGCAGGGGGCCATGGGGGCATCGGGAGAAAAACATGGAGAAGCATTGCTCTAGAGTAGATCTCCTTGCTAGACTGTGCCCATCAAACCATTACTGGAACGGACCCACTTCTGGGAAGCCAAGTGCCTGTGGCTAGTGGTCTTCCTTTACGCCTTTCTCTTAACCCCATAGGGGAGGTCTCCATTTAGTCTCCAATGCAGGCTATATAGTATTGATTTTTATAATCTGCCCCCACTTTTCTTCCGACCGAACTGTACGATCAGGCACCGAATCCACAAAACGTTAACAACGGCAGAAAGACGAATGAACGTATTTGGGTCTGAATTCTGGAAAGTGCCCCTTGGGCACGGTTTAAATAACATTCGTGTTCTTTTTAATTTTCTGGCTAGGCCCCTGTGTCGATTAAAATACGGCTTAACACCAGGGTGCGTCGCTTCGCACATTCTGTTCGTCATGCCTTAAAAACATGGTCGAAATGAGAACTTTGCCTCCATAGTGTGGCGTCTGTGATTCTATGATTTTCAAAACCACCTTGGGCACAATATTGAATCCTGTCACCTCGAGGGAAGAAAAGCATTTGAAGGTAGAAGCCTTTCTGGCTCTTAATAACATACTGCATCTGTAACGCGAGGGGAAATTCAGAGGTTGGTTTTGGAATGAATAAGCTCACGTGCAGCCTGCTATTTAAATTCAGGAGACAATACCCCCTGGTGCTGGTGCCGTAAGATAATGGATGATTTTTGCACTCAAGAATCTGAATCCCAAAGCCGCCTTGGATTTACACATAGCGGTTAGAGGAACATCTGTATAAGAAAATACCAGAGGACAGCACAGTGCCTTAGAAAAACTATTTGCCAATAAATCTGCTTTTGATGGGCTACTAAAAAATGGACACATCACGCATAAGAGATGCGTGTGTCTATTACGGAGGCTAGCTTTGTGTGCAATGACAAGCTTCCCCTGGCACACTGAGATAAGAAACAGCAGTCCTTGGTGTCGGCACTCCTGCAAGAAATGAAATGATAATTTGGGGACACGCGTACAAGGGTTACCATATATTTGATCAACTTTTGAATATATGCAATACCAGAACCATCTGGCAGCCCCAAGCGAAATTGCCCACAACCTTTGAACAGTCTCTCGAGAAGGAGCCCTGAATCTAATCACGTAGAACCTTCGCCGGACTGTGTGTTATTTCCAAAGCAAGCAGTTCCAGTGTGTTTGTCTGTGGTGGTGACGGGGCACAGAAGGAATGGGGGAAAGCCATTGTCATTTTCCCCCCGTTTTTTTGCATCAAGGACATTTTTTTAGGTAGGAGATTTGAGGGTTTCTAATGATGACTGCAAAGCAGTTGCTACGTGCATTTGTAAACTGTGAATCAAAGCGGGGAAAACATCTTTCGGCACAGAAAACTCACTGAACTTGACCACTGGATTTATTTGATCGCTGCACATAAAGACAAACGGCTTTTCTTATTTTAAAAACTAAAAAAGTAACAGTTTATACATACAGTTTCAGGTCCATAAATTTTCATGCTCTGTATGAAAGATTGGCAGTTGAGAACTACAGTGATAAACGCTTCAAGTTTCATGTTGATCTGGAGCTTAGAATGTTTTTGGAATATTCTTTTTACATCTTTCACCTGTTTAGTTTAAGCATATCCTAAGTACTCCTCCGGCATTTGATTGTTTTGTTTTGTTTTTTTTTTCTCCTTTTAATGCTTAAGAATGCAAAGTCAACTATAGATATTCAGTGGAGGGCCAGCCATGAGCTCAGCTGGTCATCACTGCTTTTCCTCGTCTCTGGCTAGATTTTCTGCTTGGAGTTTGCTCCATGAGAGCCCTGCTCTGGAAGAGCCTCCGTGAGCCACCCAGGCAACCAGTAGACCTCTCCAAGCACACTTGTCTCTGAGAGATACCTCAGTATATTCCAGAAAACCCAAATGGACTCTTCTGCTATCAGGGGACATCCACAGCATCCTCCCAAGCGGAGTTAATTTGGGGACCATTAAAAAGATAAAGAATTGGAAAGGAACAATGACAGAAATGGTCAGATTCAGCCCATAGACACCTTTAAGGAAGGAAAAGCCCTTGTTTCTCGAGTCAGGCATTCACAGGCTTGGCGATACAGTCAGTGAGAGCTGGGGTGGGTATGCTGAGCAGACAAGAGCTGGGATTTCTGGCTCTCTACCCCGTTTCCTCCTAGAAAGAGAGCTTAGGTTTTTAGGTTTCCATAACATCAGACTCTCCCCAGGTAGGTCAGGGTGTCCGGCCTAAGTTCTTAGATCAGATCTTCCTTTATCACCTTATCAGGGCGAGAGAGCTGTATCCTAGCGAAGAAAAACAAACCAAAGGAGAGTAGGGCAGATAATGAGAAAGGCAGAGGGGGTAAGAATAGAAAAAGAACTACTGAGTGAGATTGCACGCAAGGGACTCCTTCGAAATGGCAGATGAAGGTCTCCTCCCCGCCCCCCATGTTAAAAACCTGTCCACCAGAATGAAAAGGCTTAATTAGCAGCTAAATACAAATCCACGTCTTGTATCTTTTAAATGACGTATCACCAAGGTACCAAGCAGAATGTCTGGTTGAAGGTTGGGTGATTCAATCCATCTATTACTCTCTATAAAACAAAGAATCTGTGCTTTCATTACCCTTAAATTGTCTGGCAGTGGGTGAAGTTAACTTTTATTAGGCGCTGTTCTTTCATATTATACAGTGTGGTCAAGGATATATTAGCTTTGACGTTTTCTTACATCTCAATATACTGCGGCGTGAATTTACTGTGAGGCTAATTTAGAAGGAAGCTTTTCAGAGGAGGAAATAATGGTCAGCATCAGCTATGCTGCAAATTATAAGCAGGATGAAAATTCAGGGGGAAATGGACATCCGCATACAATCGCTAGATGTTAATAAGCGTGCTTCTTATATGTGTATTCCTGATGATATTCTTTCTCTCTTAAAACTCCAGTTTTATAAAAACTCCATCCTGGGGGAGGATTTTAGTGTTGAGGAAATGGTATAGTTTATCCTAACATGATTATGTTGTCTTAAAGAAAGAAACACCCATCGGATCAAACTCTATGTAAAAGGTGTTCTCAGAGCTCGCCTTTGGGAAAGGAACCCCCCCCCCACCCCCCAATGATAATTTAAGCACTTAAAATACAATTTAAAGATGATTGATCAGACTAATACACAATAAGGTCGTTATAAAACAAATTCCCAGTATGTGAAATTTAATTTCACCTACAGGATTCATCATTCATCACAAAAGTTTTATTACACTCTGGTATCGGGTGCCATTCTCTGACTTTGGGTTGTTTTTTTTTCAATAAGATCATGCTGGTTGGCTGATGTTTTGTGGCACCAATTAAGCATATTATTGGTCGATGAAATTGGATCGTGTTTAAAGCAAACAAAGACGAAAACAAGCATATGAGAATGAGAAGTGTAGTCTTTTAGCTTTAAGAACTTAAAATGTAACTGTATCACGCAGGGACGTTTGAGTTGTTAAACTAATAAAACCCAGTCAATCAAATAGTAAAAGATAGTGAGAAGCAGCAACACGAAGTGTTATAAGAAAAGCACCCAATGGAGACACGTAAGAGAAAATCCGTCAGCGACTCATTCAGTTTCTTATCTGTTCTATAGGTTTAGCGCTGGAACGGAGTTGTTTGTTTTTTTTTTTTTCCTTTGCATTTATCTTTGTGCCTGAATGAGTTCAATTTCACTTAGATTAGGACAGAAACTTCAGAACAGCAGGTTAATCCGTCCTGTCTTCATGGGCAACTGAGCAAACAGACCAGTATCAGTGTAAAATTGTAATTCTGGAGATTAATGTTGTCTTTCCTGTTTGTGGTGAACTTGACCTCCTTGCCTTTTTTTTTTTTTTTCCTTCAGCTTCTGTCCAGGGTCCCTGGGAGAGAGCCATCTCGCCAAACAAAGTGCCCTACTATATCAAGTAAGTTGGAAGCATCACGTTCCTAAAGAAGCATTTATTGTGGCTAATCTGCATATTCACAAATGGATTTATTTCTACATTGTGACTGACGTTAACCTGGCGTACAGTACCTACTTCTCCATCCCCCAAGGAAGCTTGGAAAGTCAACTCGCGCTAAAATTACCTCTGCAAATGTGCTGATGCAACAGGGAGCTGCCTTTAGGAAAAATCCATTTACTGCAGCCCGTTTCTTGTGTGTTGTGATCGGAAGTGGTGTGGCTTTTCCACAATAGCACAAAACGCTGCAGATAATATTATGGATGGTGAGAGTGAATAGTTATAAGGACAGTTTCATTTGTTTAGGGGTGTTCGCGCATCTCTTTTTCAGCCAAGATGGATGATTTCGGCAGCTGTATGTACACAAAGCGTTTCAGGTGAATAAATACTTCATGGACCCAAAAGGCAGTCAGCAGCAGGCCCGGATTTGTGTAGCTGAGGTGTTCATTCTTGACACATAGCACTCAGCATTTTTCACAACAGAGTCATACCGTTCTCTGGGGCCATTTGTGTCCGTCACAGGAATACAGGTGCTTAGAAGCACCTTCTGCAGGATGCATTGTGAAGTACAAATACATTGTACATTGAGTCAATGATTGACATTGAGTCAATGTACATTGATACATTGGGTCAACACGCAAGGGACAGGAGGGAGGATAGTGGGTCATTATGGCACCTTAACAGTTTCTCGTTGATTATGCGATAGAGTTCAACTTCAATTTAACTTTGAACCTGCTGGTTCAATAATTGAATTTAATCGCCTTCGTGACATAACCTTCAATACCAGCTGAAGGCTTTCAACCTGCTTCCGCCATGAGTCTGACTAAAAATCCTCCATGTTTTCCCATTGTTCGGGTCTGCCATCTTTTATCAGGTTGGCTTCTGTTCTTCGGCTGCCCAGCGTTTCTTCATAATTCAGTTCTAAAGCAATCGCAGCAATCCTAGATCTTCATGACTACCATTCTCCGGAAATTAGATCGCATGCCTCACTTTTGTTCACTCAGAAGAATGGGGGTGAGGGAATTTTTTGGGCCATTCAGGGAGAGACACATCCTTTAAGGAAGTTGCGTCTTATTAAATTTTTCCCGACAAAGCATCTCTTACCTTTAAAACCTCTCCTTCGATTTGCTTTGATCCTGCTTTTTATCTTTCTTATTTTTAAATTGTATTATGTTTATGCTGTATAATTACCAATTCGGTCCCCTTACGTATTTTAAAGACCTATTTTAAATTGTGTGTCTCATTGAATGACAAATTCACTTAGACATGCGCTGTATGGCTTTACATCCACTGTATATTTTGTGGAACCATTTTGTTCAAACTCTGCCCAGTCCTCTCCGGTGTCTTGGTCAATCCCACATTTTCATCTCCAAGATGTTTGGGACCTGCTACTTCTTCAACCCATTTGTAAAGCTCTCACTTTATCCGATTCCTTTATGATAGATGAAGAGATAGTCCTTACTGGATAGAGGTTCTTCTTTTGTAGCATAGATTGTGAGAGCACCTGAGAACCCAAAACATCTTCAAGTGATTATTCTCCAGATTATTACTGTTTGGGGCTTATTAAATATCTCACAGGGATTCCTAGGGTCTCCCTACCCACTGTCCTTTCCCTAAATATTTATCTTCTCCCCGATGCTATACCCAGCACAAAAGATCCCGGTACATTGCTGTGTGGCAGTGAAGATTCATTCAGTCCAAAATTAACAAGATAGATTCCCCCTCATTGTCCAGGGCTCCTTCACTGGCCCAGACCGGGGAACGTGAAAAAGTGAGGTCCAGTCCTGGCTCTGTCATGAATTGACTGTGTCGCCTTGGGCAAATCACTTGCCCTGTACAAACCTTAGTTTCTCATTTAGAAAATGAGATGTTGGACTAGGTGATATCTAAGGTTCCCTGTAGCTCTAAGAATCAATGAGTGCGACTCATCAAATGATTTTATCCGAATTCAAAAACTTAAGATCTCAGCTTTTCCTTAAGAAGTTATCTTTATTTTTTTAAATTCTCTAGTTTAATCATTAACATAATATGAATTCTTATTTAAATTCTCTTTTTCTTATAGCAATTCTCTTTTTCCATTGTTTAATTAGCCGAAGATATGCCCCCTCGACCCATTCCACTTTCTCCAGGTACCCATTTAAAGACATCAAATCTTGGTGTTTAATTTAGGACTGTCATTCTTCCTGATTCAGTGGTAAGAGACATAGAGCCCCAGACAGAAAAAAATAGTAGAAAAGGGAACATGGACCTTCAAGCCTCTGAAATGATCAGTTTCTAGGAATGAGGAATTAGGTAATTTCTCAAAAATACCTCTGAAACTTTATGGAGATCACTTGTCTCTAAAAACTAAAATCTACTGGGGCACCTGGGTGGCTCAGTCGGGTAAGCATCTGACTCTTGATTTCGGCTCGGGTCATGATCTCACGGGGCGTGGACTCGAACCCAGCATCGGACTTTGGGTTGATATCGTGGAGCCTGCTTAGGATCCTCTGTCTTCCTCTCTCTGCTCCTCCCCTGCTCGATAGCTCTTTTTTCTCTCTGTGTCTCTCTCCCTCTCCCTCTCCCTCTCTCTCTCTCTCTCTCTCAAAGTAAATAAACATTTTTTTAAAAAATTATAATCTATTAGAAATTAGAGATTATATAATTTCTCAACTCTACCTCTAAAATGTTAAGCTAATGTAGGGAGAACGCATGTTCAGAAAATACACATGGTCAACAAACCGATTATTAATGTCATTTGTGATTCATTATTATACACTACTGTTGTCTTAAATATTCTTTTTACAGCAAACTACTTTGATGTACAAGGTTCAGTGGGCTTGAGGCACTGGCAAATGGCATTTGCAATTCGAGATGCCTTATTTATCCACAAATAACAATATCATAAGTTTATAATGATATTCCTTCACCCAGTCCCCACCCCATAGTTCCTCTTTGTTGTCTCATCTGTCTAGACTTGCATTCAAAAGTTTTAACCACCCGGTGCCAGGCACAGAGCCAGGTGCCTTCTCCGGATCTTTGTTTCATACTTAATACTTTTTTGCTTTTCAACGCTGGGATAAACTGATCCCCTAAATAACCGGAGGTTTCTGCACCAGTAACATAATTCCAGTTGGGTGTTGACTTGTGCGCTCATGCTTGAGGTTGTAAGTCACTACCCGCGTCTTGGGCTCTAGATTGCAAGTCAGGCGGTGTTTATGACTGCATCCCGACACCAGCTTTTCATATGGTGCTAAGAATCTCGATTTCGATACTTCACCCTCCATGTTTGTCTAGTTTATTAGTCCATGGCATTCGTCATTGTTATAGTTTTCATCGTCTCGCTCCCTGGGGGCTCTCTTACTCCTGCCAGCGTCTCCTTCAGGTTATTTGATTACAGCCTTCATTGCCACTGAAAAAATAATCGCCAGCCATGTTCAACCTGTTACAACTGCCTTTTCCACTCTCCGCCATTTTGTACTCTTTTTGGCCTACTGTCAAACTCATGAAAATTCCGATATAATAGCCTTTAACCAGCTGCTGCATTCTGTTAGGATTTCTTTCACCTTTTTATGTTGCATCCTCCCATATGGGTAAACCACATGGAGCCAAGAGCTGGGACTCTCTTGCTTTCTTAATGAGTTAGAAAATGATTCTTCTGTGTTCTTGACTGTCAGAAGAACTCAGGAATCCCAAACTTGTGTGCAGTATGTTCCTGCAAAGAAATAGCACACTGGGGCAGACCGACAGGGCAACTAGCCCAGAACTCGGTCCCACATGCAGACACCAGTGGCTGTTTGCATCATCAGCCCGTTGGCATTGGGTTTATCCGGTGGTTTCTTACACTTTTCCCCTCTCCGCTTCAGCCTTGGCTTCAGAAGAGTAAGGTGCATAAATTTGCTGATTTCTACTTAAAGAAATAAAGGTAGATCTCAGTCTCTCTTCAGTCTGCATTTTTTAACCTCAAGTGCTGTGGAATTCAGTGAATGCAATGATATTTACCCAAAGTAGACTTTTTTTAATGTTTATTTATTTGTTTTGAGAGAGAGGGAGAGAGAGAGAGAACAAGAGCGTGTACGCATGCATGCATATGAGCAGGGGAGGGGCACAGACAGAGAGGGAGAGAGAGAATCCCAAGCAGCCTCTGCACTGCTGGTACAGAACCTGATGCAGGGCTCGATCCCTCAACCCTGGGATCACGACCTGAGCCGAAATCAAGACATCACGCCCAACCGACCGAGCCACCCCGGGCGTTTTCCCAAAGGAGACTTCAGCCTCACATCCCCTTACACCCCCTTTTCATTTTCATCTTCCCAGTCTGAGAAATTCTAATCCTTTTTTAGGTTCTTAGTCTGTCCTTGAATGACAGGCAAGTGTTCCCCTTGATCGTCTTAGTTGCTTCTCCCTGGATCTTTTCCAGCTCTGTTACGTCTTCCTTGGGATGTAGTGACCGGAGTGGCCCAAATGTCGGTTATTAAATTTGTTAGCATTGTCTGCAGTCTCCACTCACTCATGAAGACGGTAAATGCTGTTCGCTTTCTCTCATTGGTGCAGAAATGGAGAAACCAGTTGAGGTCATAGCCTCTTCTACCTATGTTACTTCTGGCTATAGTTTGGTTTGCTACTATTTTTCTGTGACACCGGCTGAAAGGTTTGACCTTATATTTCTGCCAGCCGGCCCTTAGGAAGGGTTTGGTTTTTAGACGAGCGGGTCCTCTCCTGTTTTAAAGGCACTGCTGTTTGTAAAGACTGGGAGGCATTCACTAATGAAACTCGGTAGAAAACCTGCTGACTCAGTCGCCAGTAAGGCCTGTCAGCAGGTTCCCTTCCTAACTATCACTGAAGCACTTCACCGAAGAGTGAAAAAGGGGTTCCGGGAAACATGCTAACTGATCAGCTTTTTTTTTTTTTCACATCCAACGCTCACGAAGCAACTCACGTCCACAGGAGTGTCTCTCTCTTCCCGCTGGTTGTTTTGGGTGTTG